ATCACAGGCACGATTTACATATGCAGTTTTTGTATTGATTTTCTAAGTTTCCCGCCGGATCCTTTTTAAAGGAAGCAACAGGCAGTAAAAGCTGGGTAACTACTAAATGTAGCACCATTTCGAAAAATAGGACTTACTATAGAAAAAGTACTTCAAAAAATTATTTCTCTTTAATTTGAATTAGTAGAAAGTCAATTTTAAAGTATGATTATGTACATCATACTATATAGCAAATTTTGCTATAGGCATTTTATGACATCACATTAAGTTATGTACACATGAATAACAACCGAACAATTCATTAAGAAATGAATCATTGGTTAATCAGGTAATATATGATGTGAAACTCAGAGCCGCATTCACAAATTATAAACCACAACTAAATGTGAAAACATTTCTGAAGCATTTTTAGTTATTTTTTGTCAAGTTTTCATGGAACAAATGATTCGCTTCTTCGCCTTCGGAAATAAGTATCTTCATTTTCTTGACAAGCTCGTCGACGCTATAGGTGCAGTCATGTTCAGTCAGTTCAGAAAGAGGTAATTGTTGAACGAATATATCGTATTTCAGGGAGAATAAAGATTTTTATGATGACTGTGCTTTAATATTTCAACCCTTCCAGTGATCGGATTGACTTGAAATGTAAGTTAACGAAAGTACGATGACAGTATAATAAATCATCAATACTGTGATTGTAGCACGTTGCTACGTATACGCACACGCCTGCGTAGCTAATATCAATGAATATGTGCATGTAGTAAAACCTTATGCGTATTTAGTAACAAATGTGTGAATATAAAAAAAAGTAAGCTAAGTTAGTTCTCGAAGAAATTGCTTTAAATGCCGTTTCCATATAACCGTGGTTAACCCTAATTATAGCAAATTATAAAGCAATGCCTAGTTCAATATTCCGCTAGTTATGAAACTTACTGTCGATATCAAATGTCACATGCCTATCTGTAGAATGTCAACTTTTTGCTTCCAAGAAGTTTATGTTCATAGGATTCTTAGCTTTTATGTGACTAGTAAAAATAAAACCTTATTTAAGTTTTTTATTATTGTCTATTTTCGTTTGATAATTTATAACCAATCAAAATAATGTTATCTTAGTACTAATGTAAGATTACGTTATCAAACGTGTGCGTGTGGCGACACCGGTTTTGATACAAATGCAGCTTGACGCCATTTCCATTCTTCTCTTTCTTCCGTGGTTAACACTAAACTCATTCCAAAGCACAACGTGAGAATCAAGGCTCTGCTTGTTTTATTTATTTTTCTTCATGAAAATGAGGGACTTAATTTTAATAGATTTGATTATAACACACGTTTCTTTAATCATTCGTTGTTCCCATCACTATAAAATATATAACTCGAGTGACAGGTTTGTCATGGTACGAATATGAGTAGTTTTTTGAAAGGTTATTGAAGGCCCACCTCTCCTTAATGAGAAAAATACAATTGCGAGAAATTTAAATTATCCAATGTTAGACATATTTAGTAGATAGTTACAATTGAAAAATTGAACCTTGTTGATACAGTTGTCTTTTCAGGTATGACAACAGATACTAAATTGCAATAGAGTCTCCAATATAAGTAAGTTGTCGCAACAGTTCAACCTTGCAGTGTACGCGACTAAAAAAATACGAAACTTTCAGACGTGGATTGGTTTACTTCAGTTACTTTCACAGTTTAATGATATACGTCATTTTGCTCTGGGGCAATATTAATAGTATCTTTGTCCTGCCGAAACGTGCGGTTAGGGCCATTTACAATCTGGGCCCCAGACAGTCTTTGAGAGATAATTTTAAAGAAATTGACATTCTTACACTAGCGTCAAAGTACTTTTATGCAAATGGTTATTTATGTTAAGAAAGGGTTTTTTTTATGGAAAATAGATACAGACATAACATTATTACGAGGAATAAAGATAAAATAGCTTTCTCACAGATGGCGCTACGACTAAGTCGTTGAAAGACCAAGTACAAAGACACGACGCAAGCACATAGAAAGATTCGTGAGGTCCGTTGGTTCGTTCCGTGGCTTAGTTGGTATAGCGTCTGGCACGGTTTTGCTACAAGACGTCGATTCGAATCCGGCGGGATAGAATGAATTTTAAGTGTTGGATCTTTGTATTAGTAATTATTAACAAAGTAGTGGAGTAATTTGACAAAAAATAATTGAATATCATACTGGTGAAACATTTTGACATTCGATATAAAACCTTATGAACAATAAAACTGAACAACATAACAATGAAGACTGCAAGACAGGAAAATTATAATAAAAATTTAACATCAAGAAAGAAAAAACTATAGAAGACAAATTATAGAACAAAAATCATGAATGAAAAATTATAGTATACTTATTCCGACCAATGGTTATGATAAGGAGGGAGATTTGACCTCCATCTCACCTGGCGCAACGACGATGAGGTCGACTATGGAGATATTCTATCTCGTCTTGGAAATTCCAATCCCCATGGTAAGCCATATTAATGCGGCGGCGTAATTATCTTTATCCGCAGCAATCTCCGTTCAGTCAATTATCGGCGTGTCAGCCACAGACGGCCATCTCGTTGCACCCACCGAGTGAGAAGCAATACATATTCGCCAATAACAATAACATCCCCCGTAGTAAGACCTCTATAAAGCTATTATAACTACATTTAGCTGTCAAATTTGAGTGATAAAAATTTTAAAATTTTGTCACAGTAGTTACATGACGAGCACCGTGTGACGTCACATTTTTGTCACTGCGAGAGCCGCGACTAAGCGGCATAAAGTATACGTAAAGTGAAGCAGTATTTATACTTTCTTTCTTTTTTATAGAAGAAGTATTTATACTTTCCCCAGTAACAGAAAGATTACACGCGCTAAAGTGACTACAGGTACAGAGTACTAACTAAATAGTCGGACATTTTTTAATAATACTAAAAACAGAAGACACCTCAGTGCTTCCAGACTTCCAGACGTCTGAAATTTTCTAATCGTCTTGCTACTTAAAAAATCCCTCCCTAAAGGTTATCAATGGACTCAGAGATGAAGTTCTCGACTTGAGGGTTTTTGAAAAACTTTTTTAATAACAGTAGTACAGCTAAATGAACCACGGTTGAGAATTTTAAACACTCTACTTGAAAACTTCCGTTCGTATTCAAAGTTAGGGATGTGCAAAGTATCATATAAATATTATTCACATAACGCGTATAATATGTAAGTTTAACATTCTATAATTTAATTTTTTATATTAATCACTTACACTAACATTCATTCTTAATACTCCGTAGGTTATAGACCACAGCTAACAAAACGTCATTTTATCTAAATTTCATTTCATTTAGAAATAGGACTATTTCCGAAAAACGATATCCCTAATACTAATATTATATGAATTATAATTTGGCCTGAAAACATTAAATCGCAAACACATTCGTTTCCGGGGTTCGCCGGCCGCTGCCGCGGCACTCTCGCTACACTCGCTCGGCTCGTGGTGCTTTTCCATGTTCTAACCTAACCTGCTGTTTCATTGAAACCACCAATGTGTGCCTGTGTGGAACAATAATAATTGCCGAAATAAAGGTTCAGCTTTGTAAACTATATTAAGGATAACAACTCTTCCTCAGCACCTCCGGCTTTTAAATTACACTCCAAGTATCCAACAGACAAGTACCATGGCGAATCAGCTTCAAACTACATACTATACCACGTACAAACTATCTAAATTCACAATATACGATTTTTTTTACAAAATGCGAATGAATATCAAATAAGAATTATATGAAGTTAAATTACAAGAAGTGAAATTGGTCCAAATAAAAATCATATTAAATGAACGATATTTGTTTTGAAATTAGTTTTATTTAATTTTCAAGTAAGTGCGGCGCGCCCAACGCGTAGACCTCCACACAAATGGGATTTAATCGACGTAACTTTGTGACGTGTAACTTTGAGAGTCACTTGGCACCAAATAACAGGGTGCTTGATATGGAGACAGATATATTTGATTTAATTCGCACATCTTATTTACCTCACAATTTACTTATTTAATTTCGTCGCTTTATTATTGAGGGTGACGATACTGAAAACACTGTCAGACAAGCTTATGGAGATACCAATTGCACTTTGTAGGCAATGGAGAAACTTCCTGTCAATGGTCACGAGCTGTTCGTTACCATTAGCTTCACATATGCAGTTGTACAAACAAAAACCTCTCGAGCAAGGCTACTAAACATTTACAAGTCGTCTGAGATACGTTCATTTGGCCACTAAATTAACGAAATGGAAACTTGTAATCCAAGCTATTTATGCGTAATTGTAGACAACTTAGAAATTGAAATCATAATCACGCCTCTATTCCAAAAGTTACATGACATTGCTACACAAATCCGACTAAAACTGAAATACAATCGATTCTCTATCCAAAACGCGACCAATCTAACTTGCCATTTATCGCAAGCCCAAAACGTCTACAAACGCCTGGCAAATTGGGTGAGACAAACTTCGGCATCTACACGATTGCGAGAAGCAAGCATGGCGGCCTCCCGTTTGTGTCTGCTATTACGTTCGGCTTGACCTATTTTCATTACAAAAAGAAGTAAGATGGAAGGAAACTTGCATCTGCTACTTTTTTTTTGTCCTTATGGTCCCTTATGCAGGGTTCTGCTTGAAAGCTCCCCAGAAATAATAAAATAGTCTCGTTTGACTACAAAGTTACCGCTCCTAGATTATAATAGTTGTTCATAAATTCTTTCCGCTAAGGAAAAGGCAAGGCTTAAAACCTTATAGTCATGTCTATCGACGAGTCGACAGTTCTCAAACATTACTAATTAGCACAAGGCAAGCGCTTGCCGCAAGCTTCCACACGCAAGCCAATTCAAACACATCGTCCACACATTTGTGCTTGCGCGCCCTTGCCATGTTTTGGCAAGCGTGTGGCAAAATTATCGATAATGTGAGCGAGTGTAGTTTCATAAATATACATTTCCTATAGAAACAAAAGCTTACCACTCGCTGGTGTTCCAGGTCCGCCTTGTTGCCGACCATGAGCATGGGGAACTCGTCTCGGTCTTTGACGCGCAGGATTTGTTTATGGAACTTGTAGAGTTCGTCGAAACTGGAGTGGTCGGCTACAGAGAACACCAGCAGGAAGCCCTCGCCGGATCTCATGTACTGTTCACGCATGGCGCTGAACTCCTCTTGACCAGCTGTGTCGAGAACTGAGGACAAAATTCAATATTATTTATTATAATCTAGTGAATGAGTTTGTTGTTAAGGTGCCTTCATATAATTTATGCTCGATTTTTTGACCATCGACAGATGTGATCAAACAAAACGAGGCCATTTGTAAGCAACTCCTTTTTAGGGGTTGTTTTGAAGAACCTGTTTGTTTATTTAACGGTGCATACTGCATAGTCATTGTCATTTTCAAATGAGCACTTATTTATCGATATCGTATTTGTTAATTTCATGAAAATTCAAAAAGTTAAAATAAGGTGTAAAACATTATAGAGCGTAAATGGAATGTTAATGAAAATTCTTTCTTTTCCTACCACTATTCTATACGTACATAAGCCCTCTTGTACTAATAGGAAACGTTTTTTAATGTTTATACGTTTTTATATCATTATATTATATTTGTTACAGAATTTCCCTTTTCTTTTCCTCTTCCCATAAATATACGTGGGACCGAGCATTTCTCTAACTAAAGGTCAGTCATATGTCAACGTGTGTTATCAGATAAAATCGAATAGATGTAAGCAGAGATGGGAAAAACTGCTTATTTTTAAACGTTAAAACGTTCTGCTTTTTTTAAGTAAGCGTGATTTTTTTAAACGCTTTTCACTTAAACGATTTTTAGTTCGAAGCTTACAAAATCGTTAGAAAAACGTTAGACTTTTATAACGTGGTATTGATAGCGAAAAGCAAGAGTAGACCTCTAAAGGTTTTAAGATAAGTACAGCTTATTTGTAAAACACGAGTTTTATTTTTAACCTTCTTCAAAAAAGGAGAAGGTTCTCAATTCGACTGCATGTTCTTTTTTCTTTTTTTTTGTTTGTATGTTACGCGATAACTCCGGTATTGGTGAACCGATTTTCATGATTCTTTTTTGTTGGAAAGAGGGTACCTCGATAGTGGTCACATTTAATTTTGAAGACAATCATCCACCTCTAAGGGTGGCTGTTCACGCATGAAGATTCATTTTATAAATAGCGCCTAAATTTTATTAAAAGGAGCAATTATTTTAATGGTTGTTTTTGATATTCTCCAATTCAAGGCGTTTTACTCTATCAATATACTTTGAGTAGTGAGAACCGATTTTTATTATCTCCTGTGTCAAGTCCCGTAGTGGCGAACTAGGTGATGAATCCGGGTTTGCGCACTTTCCGGTAACCGATTTCAATAAAACTTAGTAATTATATGTAATTTCACGTACTTTTGAAGTCGGTTTTTTTATTATTTACAAAGTTATTGTTCACATTGACGAATTAATTTGTTTTGCAAACATAGATGGCGGAACTTGAAACATAAGCACGTTGTTAACGCTTACGCTTAAATTGAAAAGCGTGCTTATGTGCTCATTTTAAAAAGCATACTTTTTTAAGTGCTTTTCGTTTAAACGCCCACCTCTAGATGTAGGGAACGTTTTTGTAGATTTTCACGTGTCCATTGTAAAGAAACGAGCTATTATATAGGCACTTTTAAGAAACAAGCAACTTTTGCTTTAACGAACTTGGCATCTGGGGGGCACTGCCACTTCGCCCGTCACCCTGAGACATAAGTTGACAAGTCTGCCTGTAATTTTCACCAGCATCTCTTCCCTTGAAAACCGGAACGCTGTAGCGCTCATATTGCTGGTGGGCGGCAGAAATAAGTAATGTGGCAGTACTTCCCTGGACGAATTCTTTGATACGGCGTTCAGAGATTTATTTTAATACGCGGCACTTCTTTCTTCTTTATTGAATACGTCAGCACTACCAGAAAAACGATACATCAAGAAAACAATAAAATCCAGACACATACATTAAAATAAATATTAATTAATCTTGGCTGTATTTTGATTATATGCCTTAGTAATAATAAGACACACATACGAATATAACATCTTAGAATAATAACGCATAGAAACCGAGCCCGCACACGCTAAGTGAGGCAAATTGAAACGCGCCAAAAGGGCCTACACGAGCAGGCGGGCCTTCAGTGCTCAAGGTCAACTTGCACCGCGAACAGCTTCAGAATTTTAGCTAAAAATGACGAAATGTGCGGTAAATGAGTGTAAAAATACGTCAGACAAACATAAAATAGATATTAACATCACATTCCACAAGGAAGTAACCCGTTTCAACTTGTATTTTTATGTAAATATTCACTAAAACCGAAAATTAATTTCGTTGCAACAAGACACGAAAATGTTGCAAAGTAACGAATTTCTTTCTCCCAATTTTGCTATTCTGTTTCAAAATAATTATATTACGTACTTTTTTGAGAATAGGCAATATAGCGATGTCTGCAGATTTTTTTATTCTAACGCAAGTGTGCATTTGACCGCCATTTCTGCAAGTTGAATGCGTACAAATGTTTTTTACAAAGAGCAACCCCTAGAGTTTCTTGCTCATTCTTCTCAGGGGAATCTGCCTTACGAATGAGCGGTAGAGTTTAATCCATATGACGATTTCAAGTGTAATTTGCTTACCTATGAAATAAAGATTATTTTGATTTTGATTTTGATTCTGGGTATCGTTTACGAGGTATTTGGGAGTGCTCATTACGAATATAGCACTTATTTCTAAACCCAAGATGGCGGGCACGATTTTTCAAAAAAATGCAATATGGGTATTCTTTTCGAGGTATTCGGGGATGCTCATTACGTATATGGCACTCATTTTTAAATCCAAGATGGCGGGCGCGAT